GTCCTGTGTCGGTGTGTCGTCCTGTGTCGGTGTGTCGAGCCTGTGTCGGTGTGCCGTCCTGTGTCGGTGTGTCGTGCCTGTGTCGGTGTGTCGTCCTGTGTCGGTGTGTCGTCCTGTGTCGGTGAGAAAATTGTGTTTTTTTTAGTAGAGGTTTTACAGCGCTCGCAACTGCATAAGGTTATATGAGCGCCAGAAGATTAGAGCTGTTACAAGAGAGTAATAAACATACAAAAAGAAGGCGAGGTAAGGGCGATAGATGTTTGATAGGAAAGAAGAAGCAAACCACACCAGAGAACCCGCCTACCACCTTTCGGTGTGTCATAATCTAATAGGTATGTAGTGTCGTGTCGGTGACGTGTAGGTGTATCGTTGCGTTATGTTGTTGGCGGTGTCCTGTTTCGTTACGTTGGTTTAGCGTTACGGGTGTGTGTCGGTGTGACGGTGTGGGACAGTATCGGTGAGGGGGATGTGTCGGGGGTAGCCGTGTCGGTGTCGGTGTCGGTGTGTTGTTGTGTCGGTGTGTTTGTGTATCGTTTTGTCAATGTGATGGTGTGCTAGTGTCGGTATGTCGGTGTATCGGTATATCTGTGTATCGGCGTATCAGTGTGTCGGTATATCGGTATATCGGTTTGTCGGTGTGAGGGAGTGACGGTATATCGGTGTGTCTGTGTATCGACGAATCGGTATATCGATGTATACGGTATATCTATATCGGTGTGTCGGTATATCGGAGTATCGGTATGACGGCGTCTCGGTGTGTGGGTGTGGCGGGGTATCTCCTGTACCCGGAATTACAAGCCGTCTACCCGGGAGTGGTGTGCCTATGTGAGGGACGGGAGCAGACAAATCGGAAATCTGATCTGACCGGATCGTATGTCAGTGTAGGCCGAACGCGCACACACACGACAGTATTATGGCCACAGCGCACAAAGATGCTACATTGTTGAAACCGAGATCAGACTGGTCTGTCATTCGATACACACAAACATTCTTTAAAACCAACTTCTTTCTCTCAATGAGATCCTAAATAATTCCATCAAGCGCTTTCGACTTTTCGATTCCGACAAAATCGAGTCTTTTTGCACACCCCTCTAACAAAATTTTAAAGTGGCGTTCATAAATCTTTTCTTTCCTTTCTATTTCTATTTCTTTAAAAACATTTTTCCATACATGCATTTTGGCGTATAACATAGAGGCTTCGCACATACACAATATTATCACGTTCATTCAACCCTCTGGAAGGGAGTGTGTACCCGTGCTGTGTTCTTCCTCGGCAGTTTCACAGACATTATTGTGGTGGGGATTTACGTAATTTGTTTCAGAGGATCATCATCATCATCATCATCATCATCATCATCATCATCATCATCATCATCATCTTCATCGTTGGTGTTCTTTTTGATCAAAGACAGGCTTCGTTTCCGTTGGATTAAGTTATAAACGTTGAAAGGATAAAAGGAGCCTATTGTGTTGGAAAAAAAAATCCCACACAGAGTTTGGTGAAATCTGTGAATGAGAGGGACGGAGTGACAGACAGATAAGTAAGAGATGAATGTCTTTTTGTTTTAAAGAATATGATTTTGTTTAAGTTTTGTCGAGAGTGATAGGCATATAACATTGCCAACTAAAAAAACCCCAACAAACTAATATTAACAAACAA